GGTATAAGGCTTCGAGTCGACAACGGCTTTGGGTGGGTGTGGCGTGTAGGTTCGTCAGGGCTGACGGTTTATGTACAGCACCCCATCCCCCGGCCGCAGCTCCAAAGCTCTCCGTGCACAGGCCCCCACCAGACCATACCATGGGGGCGCGGGAACGCCAGATATACTGCCCATCATGTCTAGGTTATATGGAGTGAATCCATTTTGTACTGTGCTATACATCGTGTGGCTATTGCCTTGGTATATGGCATCACACATGATATGACATTAATGCATATTATTGGAGAGAGAGTGTATGACATAGTCTTACGACTGCGTCTTGTTTGCATTCACGGATCGAGCAGCTCCCCCCTAAAGAGGTCCTGCTCTGGCTGCGCCTGGCTGGACCTGCGTAGCCTCATCGCCCCTGGGGCTCTTCGAGTGGAGTCCACTTGCGCCCTTGCAGAGCTGGCCCGCTTGGATTTTGTGGCCTAGAGAGATGTGATTAGTTACATGGTTTGCGGGCCATGCAGGAAGGCTCCGACTTGCTCCAGAGCGCCTGCCTCAGTTTTTTTTGCAGTTTGTCTGTGTTGACGCCATATCTGCTAATTGCAATTCAGCACTGCAGCACCGCATGTCATCCTGCGAGTCCGTCCACGGTCCAGAGTAGTTCCCCACCCTGGTCCAGCATGCCCGAGAGCCCCTTCGGTGCCAGGTAGCGGCACTTTCCTGAGCCTGTCGCTGGAGTTGAGTTTCGATGTGACTCCAGCTGAGAGCGAGGACATGAAGGCCGTCGTGGTTGTACTGTGAGCTACGTCGCGGTGTATGCGGCCAGGTCCATCCCAGCAGCCTGCTACCCCATCGGAAAGATAGTCCGAGCAAGTTTTCTGGGTCGGATGGTGCGGCCACGTCTTTTCATGAGGCCGGCATCCGACGTTGATCTTGCCTTGCATTTCCTGCACTCCGCTTTGCCGGCCCAACTCGATGGCAGGCTGTCCAATGGGGCTGCGAGGCGACGGATGGCTATCGGACTTGCTGTGGGTGTTCGAGAACACAGCGAGGCGATCTTCAGAGACTGCCCGAAGCTTGGCAGCGTGCTGGCAGCTTGGCAACCGCACCCTCGCTCTGGACAGCATAGATTGGTACTTCGGTTAATCGTGGCCGTCGTGGGCCGAGGGAAGAGGCCGTGGCACAGCTCAAAGAGGTCGGCTTGAAGACTCTCTTGAAGTCCGTTGCCATGGCACTCCATGCTGCCGTCGGGACATGTTGTATGGGGAGTGGGGAGGTCAACAGCTATGAGGATATAAAGCAGCATCTTCGCGAGTCGATTGCCTGGCACTTACGAGCCTCGCACAGATCAGGAGCTCTGGTGCGTGCAATGATGCAATGCCCAGATCTGCGTGTTTCGAGAACGGCTGCGCAAGGAGTCCCGTACCGCGGAGTACCGTTGAGTGACCATCAACTTGTGCAGGAGAGCTCTGCAGTCCCGGGACGGCCTTTGAGAGGAAAAGCAAGAGAAGACTTCATCTCGAACGCGCCGCTCGTCAGCGGTCCACTGTTTGTGAGGCTCGCAGTGGTCTCGCCGTTTCGCCATCTCCAGCCAGCAGAGGTATTCCTATTTGCAGCTGACTGCAGCAGACGTGCTGGCCAAGCTGTACCCGCCGTGTCCTGGCGGCAGAGAAGCGGCGGCTCTGCGGTTCTGAGTGACTTTGAATCCACCTGCAGGCCCGATTCTAAAGATGAAGCCACGGGCTCAGGAGCCTCTGCCTGATCGCTTGCCTTGGCCCTGACCTGCGTTTCAAGGCCTCCGATGCCAGCAAAGAGGCCGACAGGTTGGCAAGACTCGCATACGAGGCGCCAGACATGGAGCAATGGAAGGGAGCTGTGTGTAGCTGCGTGGCGATGTGTGCAACTACCCCACCGGCCAGTACAGGCGGAACTGGTCGGCAAGTGGGATCGTGCCGCAGCTCTGTTGCAGCTGCTGGGCTGCAGACGTGCGGAGCGAGCGAAAAGGGAGTTCACTGCGCTTCTCAGGAATCGCTTCCTTCTCCCGGAGCTCGGCCTGCGTGAGGACCCTTCTGCTGCGGCCCTAGGGGTCACCACGGGTCGCACATCACTTCGAGTGATACTGGCTTGCAGCTCAGGAGTGGGTGGCCTTCGCCAAGTTCTGCGCAAGAAGACGAGGCCGGCAGGCTGCGGCCGAGGAGGCCCTCTGCCAGGCGCGGGGCGCGCAGAGACGCAGGCGCTCCTTCAAAAAAGCAAAGATCGATTTCGCCCCCGTTTGGAGGCGGCCAAGCTGATGGGATCTGGCAGAGAAGCTTCTCCCGAGCTCCAGCTCGAGGCTTCGCTTCTCTTCTCGGCGTCTCTCTTGGTTTGAGGGCTGCAGGCGGCTCTGAACATGTGGACATGTGTGGACCCGTGTGGAGGTGGAACTCTTCCTCGGCTGCCTCGTTCTGGTTGGGCTGCCCTCGTCCAGCTGTGCCTTGAAGTTTGGCTTTTTTTTCCTCAGGAGCGGGGCCGGTATGAGGAGGCCATTGCGACCTTCCAGGCGAAAGTCGACAAGGCGGCGGGGACCGTCAGTTGAAGAATCTGTGGTGCCGAGACTTCAACATCCGCCTGCCCAGGATGTTGCGAATCCAATGTTTCGGTTCCTGCTGGGGCTTGCGCTTTTCCTGCCTCCTGGCAGCCTTTCTCGGATTCCATTTGCCGGAGCCGGGGCCTGCACCTGCTGGGGCTTGCTGAGGCGATGCAGATTTGATGAGCCAGCGGCCTCAAACCTCATCTTGTGTTGCTTTGGCGCAAAGTCCAGGGCCTTTCCGTACAAGGGGCCTTGCCTACCTCGAATCTTCCGGAAAGCCTCGCGAATGGTTCAAGGCTTGCGGCTGGCGACAGCTGAAGCAAGCGACGTCATTCGCGTGTTTGGCTTGCAGGGCCTACCCGATGAAGCGGCCATCGTCAACAAGCTCAAGTTTGCTCCCCATGATGGTTTTGGCGCATAACCCGCTGCCAGTTCTGATTCTGCCTCTCCTGCCTCCTCCCAGCCTTCTCCAAACCCTTTTGGAGGCAATAAACGATGGATATCAGCGGTTCCGAAAGGAAGTTTCCTGCCCCGTCAACACCAGGGCCTTTCGGAAGACAGATGGACCCCCCAATGTTCTGCAGCTGGCGGCCGCGTCCTGAGCCCTTTCCATCGTCCGAGAGACCGAGGGACCTGGAGAGACTGCTTTCTGCCGAAGCCAGGGTTTCTTGGAGCAGCTCCTGAGCTTCGGGCTCCCGAGTCTGGTCTTCACCTTCCTAGACCAAACTGGCTTGCTGCCCCAGGACACCCCCAAAAAAAAACGCGCTTAAGGCTCCCCGGGCGTTTCATGCTTCCTGTGTGCAGGAATGCCTGGCTAGCGAGAGCATGGTGCTGATTGATGCCAAGGTAGTGCGTGAGCGTAACTTGCTTCCGAGCATTTCCGAGCTGCTGAGAAGACGCAGGCGGTGCTGAGCGGTGTTGAGTTCAGTGCTTGATGCAGGCCTTGGCTCTGGACCGTGACTGGCATGGGGCCGTCGCACGTGTGGGGCTTTGTCCCGAGACGAGCCTTGGCATGGCCGTGGCCATGGTCTCTCAGGCATCCAGCCGCTGCTCTCAGAAGCTAGCTACGAGGCCCCGACCCCAATTCCGTTGTCCGCAAAGTGCGCTGAGCTCACTCGCTTGGGAGGGGAAGTCTAGGTCTCCGTTCTTCGGGGGAGAGTCTTGGCAGGTGTGCAAACTGGCCGGGGAGTGCTACGTGCAGCTGCAGGACTTTGACAAAGCGCTGCAGGCCAAACAGGGCTCTTGCTCTGATTTTGCAATTTCTTGACCTTCTGGATGCGCCTTGATTGAGAGGTCTTGCAGGCAGCACTTGCCTTCGACGACAGGGACGAAGACCCAGCGCTGTACATCCGATTAGGCATGAGGGGGATTCCAAAACGGGCTGCTTCGGATGGTCGTGGTGCCGATGTGGCCATATGCAGCCCCATGCGCCCAAGAAGCCATGAACAGGCTCCGTGCTGCTCGTGAAGAAGCGTTGGAACCAGGCCGCCCTTCAGGTCCTTCTCCGCACTGCCACTTGCAGCCGTCTTGGCCGGAGGCTCGCGACGCGTTCCTTCGATCCATCCAGGCAAAGTCGACAGCAGAGGCCTCGCGGGCCTGGGCCTCTGGGCCTGGGATGGCCGGGTCGTCGGTTCGCGACGGTGCAGGCATGGAGTGGTGTGGCCTACGCCGAGTTCCGCTCAGACCAGCTGTCGAGCTGCTACGAGGCCAGGCGGGCCCTGGCGAAGTGGCCGCCAGTGGCCGCGAAGGTGCAGCCGCGAATGCGCCTGCGCAGGCTCTCTGTGAGGCGAATCTCCTCGACACCGAGCGTACGGACGTCTGGGCTCTCCTCTGCCTGGTGCCCGCCTCTGCACAGCGAAGAGTGACCGCAGGGCAGAAGAGGGAACCTCTCTAAGGTCTGAGTTCGGTTTCAGCGCCCGTATGTGAAGTGCACTGCAGAACTTGGCTCACGGCGTTTCCTACGGAGGTGCCAACCGAAAAAGCAGCTTCAGCTACGGTACTTGCACTTGCAGGTAAAGCACAAGTAGCCGCTAAACCTAAATTGACTTTCGCCTGTCCTATCTACCCGTCAATATGTGGTCACTTTGCAGGCTTGTATGCATTTGGGGCCTGCGACACATACAAGAATTGCCCGTAGACCCATGCGTCCAGTCATCCATGCATGTGCGAATAGTCACATTGACATGAACGAGCCAAGGGACACGAATGCGGCACTGGCTCTGGCCTAAAAAAAGGAGCCTCATAGACCTGCTTTAGAGAGGGATCTTAGGGCCGAGAGATGCCCTAAGTAGGCTCCCAGACCAAACAAAAAGGACTTGAGACTTGCAGAATCCCCGCTGTTTTTTTTTTTTTGTCGGACTCGGGCCTGGCCATGGGTTGCTGTGGCTCGCTGGACAAGGAGTCCGTGGAGAGGTGGGGCCCTGCACTGGGGACCGATTTTTGCAGCTCTCTTGTGGTTTACATGGGGTTTCTCCATGTTTTTTGCTTTATGTTCGTCCCGCCTTAGAGATGTGGCCGGGCTGCCGGCCAGGTTTGCAGTTCCGCGGCTTGTGAAGTTGACTTAAGTTGACGTTTCTGGACCTTTGCTCAGATCTAGTCGTGCCACTTCAAGATTTGACGAAGCTTTTTGTGAATGTATGTTGTCGCAGGCTCGCGGCAGTGGAGCAGGAGGCAAAGCAATTTGAGTCCGCCACTGGCAGCGATGGTTTGACGGAAATCGGTAAGTGTGCCAAAGAGCTGCGCGACATTTTTGAGGATGCTGTAGTCCAGAAAGGCAACATGATGATTGCGGGCCGGGTTGAGGACCTCAGTGACGTTCTCGTGCGAAACCTCATCGGCCGAATCACCGTGGACTTGCTGAAGCCGGGTGCCGCAGAGTACAAGCCAGTGACTGACCGTCTCATGGCGATCGCCACCGACTTGGATGCTGTGCGAGCAACGAAAGCCACTAAGCTGGTGCAGAATCATCTAGACAGGCAGCTCCAGACCATCACAGCTGCCCTGGAAAAGGCAGTGGATCCTGTTGTCACCAAGATCAAGGCCTTGCACGAGCGGCTGAAACAGCCCGGGCAAGAGAAGAAGGCTGTCGCGGGTACCAAGGAAATCTTGGACCTCGCGGCGCAAGCGCAGAGCCTGGCCCCCGAGGTGAAGGGCGTGGCTAAGTCACTGTTGGAACAGCTGGTGGGCCACGCGGTGTGGCTTTTGGAGGTCGAGTCCGCCTGGGCCACCAGCGCGGAAGGTTGCGAGGAGGTCCTGAGCCTGGCGACGCGCATCGATGAGATGGCGACGAAGCTTACGGCAACGCTTGGGGCGACGTGGGATCCGCCCATCACCCCTCAAGTCGAGGGCATCAGAGATGACAGGGCCAAGGCAGCCTGTGCCCAGCTCCTGGCCGAAGCCGACAAGCAGCTGAAAAGCGACAACGGCGGTGGGGCCTACGATTGCTTACAGGCGCTCTTGCCCTGGTGGCCTCTGCTCAAAAAGAGCCACTCCCTGGAGATCGTGGGCCTTTTCAGCAAGATGCAAACCTACGCCAGCGAGGCCTTCCTGCAAGCAACCGCCGAGGGACAGACCTCCACGGCAGAGGAGATCCGGGGTTTTGCGGTGCAATTCGACGAGCTGCGGGGCAAGTTTGACGGCCTGCCGCCCGTGGCTTCGGGTCGTCCTCTGGGAGAAGTTCTCGAGACCGGTGAGGCGAGAGTTCAAGCTTCAAAGGCACTGCAGACCATCGACTCAGAGATCGCCAAGGAGAAGGACGATGACGACAGCACCAACTTAAGCCTTGCCACGACAATCCAGGCTCTGGAATCTCTGGTGGTGGCCTGGCCTACAGCCACCTCCAGCGATGCCGGAGAGCTCCAAAAGCGCATGCTGAGCAGCTGTGCCGCTTTGGAGGCCTGGACCTTTGAGGCCGTCACCAAGGGCCCAGTGAAGCAAGTGACGGGTCTACTGCAGTTCGCAGCGGAGTACGACGGCCGTCGCGTGAAGCTCGAGCCCGAGGCCGCTTCGGAAGCTCTGAGGCCACGCCTGGCCTCGGAGGCCGCAAAGCGATTCCTGCAGCAAGCCGACCAGGACCCAAAGAGAGATCTCTCCATCCGGTTTTGGTGGCTTACGTCCATTGTCAATTGTCTGTCGAGGTAAAGACGCAGCTAGCAAGCTTTCCGTGACGGCGACTGCCTTGTTCGTTTTGCTGTGGGTTTTTCCAGGAGCTGGCAAAGACCAGCGGGATGAGGGCCAACCTGCTGCTGGAGAGCCTCAAAGCTGCAGCCGCCGCCATCCCGGGCGAAAGCGGCTCACCCGAAGCCCGCACGGTGCTTCTCAGGGTCATGGCCGCCACCCAGGACCGCCGGCTTTTCATGGCTGCATGTGCATCCCCAGAAACCCAGGTTTCGACAAACATCGCGAAAGCTGGCGTAAGGAGGCTTCGGGAGCAGATCATGTGCTTTACGGTTTGCGAGAAACATGCTTAGCCCTCCTTCCAGCTTCTTTGTGGCGTGCCAATAAGGCACTGCGGCTGTGCATCATTCCCGCTCCACTCGGCATGCAACTTGCTGCATCGTGTTTGAGGTGGACTACTAGGATTGAGGCAATCGTCAGGCTCATCAGTCTTGCATCATCATCATCATCATCATAGCCATCGTCGTTATCATCATCATCATCATCATCAACATCATCATCATCATCACTGGGCCTCAACTTCTGTGGCGGTCTCCAAGCCGAAAGTTGCTGCTGGTAGGACAGGCTTCTTGCATCTTTCGCAGATGTCCTCACTGCCGATGGGGAGAATGAGAAGAAGGAGGTGATGTTGCTGAAGTTTGCAGAGTCTGCCGATGAGGTACAGAAGGCCTGCTCTATCGATGGCATGTCGCTGGTGGAGGCAATGAAGCAGAAGCGGGTTGAGATGACGGAAGAGCTTACAAGCAGGCTCGACGACCAACTATCGGCAGGACTATCCTCCGTCACTGATCTTTGTGCACTCGCGCGGCTTTGCAAGAAACTGCCAAGTACGGAAACTCAGCACTTCCGGAGTGCGGCGGCTGTTGCAGAGAAGTTCCGGCAGGTGGCTGCATCGCAGCCCAGTGTGGCCGAGGAAACGCTTCAAGGCATAGAAGGCGTTTTGCAAGCTCTTCAAGACTTGGGCTGCGCGACGGACGGATTTCGGGATCACTTGGTCTCTCAGGCAGTGCGCTGAGTTGTTTTACGCCTTTGCATGAGGGACAAGCCAGTTCTCATCAGTGGACCATTGCAAGGCCCATGGGCTGGCCACCTTACTAGCTAGTGGTTCCGTTGTTCTGAGCTGTCTTGGACACCAAAAACTATTGTGAGCAATGCAAAACCCGCACTGCTCCGCGATGGTTCTGTATTGCCGAGAGCTGCTCAGTACCCGCCTCGGCCGACTTTGCAATCGGAGCATTGGCAGAGCTAAAATGTCGGCTACAAGCACAAAGCGTATCCAACCAGCATCCTTAACCATCCAATATCCCAGCCAAAATCTCGCAAAACATCAGGAGGGAGTATGAGGGGGGTCAGACTGGGAAAGACAACAAAGGCGGGGGAAGAGTGTTACGGAGCGCATCCACCTGGCAGCGTAACAGTCCAAAATCCGAGCCAAAATCACGCCAAAACGGGAGCAGGAATCTGGGAACGAGGGGGGCAGAAGGTGAGGCGGGAAGGCGTAAAAGCCGGGAAGGACAGGACCTAATGCAGCTGCTGCTGCTGCTGCTGCTGGTGTCGTCGTCGTCGTCGTCGTCGTGGTCGTGGTCGTGGTCGTGGTCGTGGTCGTCGTCGTCGTCGTCTTGGTCCTCTTCGTCGTCGTCGTCGTCATTGTGGTGATTGTTGTCGTGGTCGTTGTCGTTATCGTCGTCTTCGTGGTGGTGGTTGCTGTTCTTCTTGTTCTTGTTCTCGTTCTTCTTGTTGCTCTTCTTGTTGCTCTTGTTCTTCTTCTCGCTCTTGCTCTTGCCCTTGATGGGAGGTAGGTCGCTTGTCAGAGGAAGGGACCCACTAAGGTTTCGCGGGCCCATCTGGCCGCAGCACA